TCCCGTCGGCCGGTGGATCGACATTCGTTGGTCGGCAACGCCCGCAAGCAATCGCTGAAGCTCGAAAGTGTGGACAAGTTGCAATTGGACCATTTCTTGGGACATCTCGCCGACCTTCAGATTGAGTTCGAGCTGACGGATATCGAGCTCATCCGCATCTTTGAATACCGCGTGGCCGAGTCGAAGATCCGTACTGTCCAGGATTGGTGGGCCCGTCGTCACCGCGAAGGCTCGAACCGGACTTGGCGCAGCACAAGAAGCACATTTTATAAGGAGTTTGTACAGAAGAGCATGAGCGCGAAGATGGCCGAAATCACGCAGAACAGTATCCGCAAGGCGAAAGAAACCGTCCGGGAATACGCGTGGCGTATCAACGATGCCGCCCAAGATCTCGAGTTGCGACATTCTCAAGCGGCGCAGATCTTCATCGACGGTTGCAAGGACCCTGGCCTGGCCTCGTGCATCCGTGGGTCGGAGACGCGACCGGGTACGATTCAGGAGTGCCTGGATTACCTTCGTTTTCGCGACATGGACCTTGATATGCGCCTCAATGACGCGAACGGACACGACGTTCCCCGATCTACGTCCTCGGCGACGCGGGTGAACCGTACTAACTCGACGGATGCGACCAGCAAGTCCACAGAAGAGGCTATGGCGGCGCTTCGGGTGGATGTAGCCTCAATGATGCAAAACCAGTTGGCTTCATTGACGAATGTAGTGGCTAACATCGCTCCGCGTCGTCCGTCGGGAAATCAGCCGGTGGTGCCGAATATCCGCATGGATCCCGACGAGACGACGACACAGTCGGGCCGTGTGGTATGTGGGCGTTGTCAACGAAGTGGTCATGGGCGCGAGGCGTACCCGTACGTTAAGATGAAGTGCTCTCGTTGCAACACCGTGGGTCACGCTAACTGGGAGTGCTCGGTTCCTTTCCAACCGCGGGCGTTAGCGGGGGATCGCCGATGCTACAACTGTAATGAGCCGGGCCATCTTCGTGTGGAGTGCCCCAAGCTTCGTATGTCGCCACGAGAAGGGACCCAGACTCCTCCGGCGCACAATGGTTGATATGGGAGGGACGACGTTCAGGCTGAAGGAAGTGGCCCGAGCATCGTCGTACCTCCCAATAAAACTTCTGTGACGGAACCTACGAATACTCCTGCGCCGGCGAATCGACAACAACGCGGTGAGAACTACGGACAGCGAGTGGCGACGTCGATAAGGAATCTGGGTGTGGAGTCCGTGGGTCGACAGGTGACGAGAGTGAACCCGGTCAACCGATCGGATGTTGAGGAAAGTGTGAGTGCTGGTCGTGCGATCAGTAGCTCCAGGGATGAGGCACGACTAACACACGAGCAGCTCGTGCTGTCCGGGCGTAGCGAGGGTTCGACGAGGATGTCGGATCCAGTGGGTGATGTGAGATCAGTGGAGTTACCGGTTCCGGGTGAAGGCTCAGAGTCGAGCCTGGATGAAGCAAATATGGACTGCGATGAAGACAGCCCCCTGGAGGAGGCAGAGTATGAGGAAGTGATACGAGTGGGCTCGATGGATATGCCGAGTCATGAGGTGGATACGGAGGACGACGTTGCGGGCAGTCCGGTCGAAGAGGGGTACTCCCACGACGGTTCGATGCGCACGTTGGGTCGTGTTGGATACGCGTTGGAAGTCGAAGTGAGCTTTCCGACGGAAGTTATACGGGGTGAGCCGGCGGTCGAGCAAGCTCCGTTGGAAAGTCATGACCAATATAAAAAGTCGGTAGTCGACTCGGTTGCGTCATCGGAAGCACGAGCGGTACGGGTGGACTTGCCTGTTCAAGGTGCGGCGTCGACAGCCGGTGGGTATACAGATTTGCCGCATTCGACCGTAGTGGAGTCGCAGGTCACGGGACCGGAAAAGCTGACGTTGCCGTCTGTGAACGACCCGTCGGTCCGCTGGGTGTTCACCCCTCACCAAATTGAAGCGATCGTCCGGTGCGACTTTCCAGGGATCGTTCAAGGTCTTCACTCTGACATGGAAGATCGGATGTTGCCGTTGACCAAGGCGGACGTGGCGGACTAAGTACGGAGAATCCGCGACCGACGCAAGAGTCCCATGCATCGAGAAATTGCGGAGGTGATCATGACTAAATTGACAGACGAGGATATGCGACTATTGGAAACTCCGGCGGATATGGACGATCCGGCCAGATGGTCGCGAGTGCCCTGGAGACGTGTGAAGAAGCTCGTCGGGCGGATCGGAATTTCAACGACAACCGATCGGCATTGGTGGCGACTACTCAGTGGGCCCGGTTTTACCGCAAATACTTCCGTTCCACCGAAATTCATGGTGTAGGTCCGGTCGCCGAGTCCGAGTCTGGCCGTCTACACCTGGCGACTTCCGAGATGTTCGAGAAATCGGTCGTAGCAGCGGTCGGGTGTGATGTCCGGCCCAGGAAGCGGGTGAATTTCTATGGGCGTGCCGAGTACCGTTTCGACTTATTGGGGTTCACCGCGTCAATCCCATTAGTGGATCTGGAATCGACTCTGCGTCCAGATGAGGTGTGGCGACTCAACTGCCATTGCTTCGCACCGCGTCGCCCGTTGCAGGAACTCGCGGCGGGTCATATA